AATTATAGTTTGCGTTAATCAGCGGTTTTGGTAAAATTATAAAACAAAATTTTCTATAAAATGTGTAAATTTACCGAAAAATGACTCATATGCTTCCTTAACATACCCGCGTAAAACAACCGATCCAATTTATGATTCTTCTTCTGGAAAGCCTATTGTCTTCAAAACAATTGTACAAATTATTATAAGATACTTCAAAGGAATTTCCAAGTGATAGTTAAAGTTTACACCGTTCGTTTCATGAGTGACAACCATTTTTCGTCACGAGTCACCTACATATTGACGTCATTTTCACATTGTGACGACACAATGATGGAAAAATAATGATTTCCATGTTATTTATAGTACATATGCATGTCTATTGGTGTGTAAAGTACATATGCATGTCCATTGGTGTGTCAAATTTCATTTGAATCGTGGTTTTGTAAAGAGATAGTTCGCGAACATTTTTAATCGCCCCTCGAAATTTTCACAATATTTGCCTTTGAAAAAAATCTTTAAAAAATTAATTACTGAAAGTCGAGTTCTGAGTTGTCAGTAAATTCACCCATGCATGTAAAGTACTCAAACACAAACAAATCATAGGTCTTTCAACTGCCGCTAGGGGTCGGTGTTATGAACGATAACTCACTGCTGAAACTTGTTTAGAGCAGGCTCGGGGTATCTAACTGTTTACACGCAAAGCAGTTTTTAGCATTTCCCAAGTGTTTATTTGCCCTCAGTAGAATCCAGTGGTTTAAAAATTTAGCACCAATGTTAAACTTATTTACTGCATAGTTGCGGACACCGGTTTTCTGCATATAATTAAAATTTTTAATTAAAATAAAAAGTGAAATCTACCCTCCTTCTCAGTTCTAACCTATTTAAATTTTTATACTCGGTCGTTCCCCTTCGTGCTTAGTAACACAAATAAGATGATCAATTGTTGCATTTACTTGTAAAAATATAGATATTTATACAGGAAGCGAAAAAGCGCGAACACAAAAAACATGACATTAAATTTTTTTGAATTTTCATTACATAAAATACCTTGATCAAGGTATTTTAAATACCTTTATAAAGCTAAAAAGCTTTATCAAGCTATATACCTTTATCGGGGTATTGTGCTGGACCTCTTAAAAACATTCCTTATATTTACATTTTACATGTTTTGAAGCAACTAAAATATACTCAATATTTGAATTTCTCGCTGTCCTATATTGTTGCATTTTTACTAACGTCGCTGCAGCCTCATTGTGACGTCACGTTAATGCACGTTTCTCCGTGTATATTTCTACGCGTGAGTATACACGAAATGATGTTCAAATCAATTTCATAGTTGGCTTTGTAGAAAAACACAGCGAATGTGAATATTGTAAAAAAAAATCTGTATGCTTCCTTATTACCCCTAAGACATACGGCAGATTTTACAATTATCACACATATAACACCGTATAACACCATGTACTGCTTTGTTTACTATGCACTGACAACTTGTTAATCTTTCAGAATATGTTAAACCATTTAAGATCATTAATTTGATATATTTACATTTTCAAATGTTTTCCTTTATATAACACTACTGAAAAGAATGCGCATCTAAAACTGTATAAATACAGGTACGAGATCAAGAGGTCATAGATGTGCGTATGGATAATCGTTTGACATAATTTCTCAGTGAATTCATAAAGGGTCGACGCGCGTTCAGTGGATAATATACTTGCCGTTGAGTTTGAAAAATAATGCATTTCACACGTTAAAAGTCACAATCAGGCGAATGTAAAGTATGAATAAGTCATAAATGTAAATATAACTAATAAGGTATCAGTTTTAAACATCTATCGTGCTATAAATACGGGTTGGTACGAGCTTAAATTCATCATAAAACCCTTTATGGTATTTAATCTCGCGACCAACCCGTATTTATATCCCGATAGATGTTTAAAGGTACTTACTACAAACAAAAAATGGATGCGCTGGTTGATATATATTTTTTGACTGATTTTGATTTGTATTAATATAAATAATAAATCCCTGAAATATAAAGAAATGGTAAGTTTTTCTTGCTGCTTAGATTTGAGATTTTATTTTGCCTTCTATATAATTCCATACAAATTTTGCACGTTTTTTTTAACTTTATGACAAAATCTTTAAAAAATTCCCCCACTCTACTTAGTAAACATTATTCAGGTTGTCAATTTAAATGTAAATCTATGAGAAATAATGCTGATTTCTGAAAAAAGTTTGTTTTTGTTATTTATCCTTAAAAATAATACCTTATTTCTTAAATTTATACCTTGAAATGAAAAAGTTCATTAAGATAGTTACATGGTGCATAAACCAACATTCCTTTTACTTGAGGAGGAATTTTATCGAAAAAAACTTCCCTCTAAAAATCGAATATTGTTTTATGTCAAAAGCAACAAAACTATCAAAGTCAAATCAAATAGAGAATGTGCAATGTCTTTCTGATGGTAAGCAAAAAGTGGTTGACACATCACTAGCCATAATACAGCAGGAAATCAATTTTCCTCTTTTCAGCTTAGAGACCTGGAACATTGATTTACTCATATTAAAAAAAAGATCAAAATAAAAATGCATTATTTTTTAAGACAAAAACATTTCAAGTAATAAAAATGAAACTTATCCTGCATCATGAAAATACCTATATATTGAAAGTTGTTACCGGTAGGTTTTAAATGTTCTGTGACGAATGAATAATGTGCACCACAGCCACAACAGTTTCAGAATTCTGTTTAAAAAAGTCCGCACCTCTTTCAATGGCGTAGGAATTTCAGGTAAGTTTAATAACGACGGAAAGACATCCTTGGTCAATGAACAAGTTTATTGGATACTCTAAAAGATAATACGGGTTATACCCCACTGTGAACATTCCTAACAATGCATGGTTTAAAAATGCATAGATTGCACCATAGGCACTAAATTCCTTTCCATGGACATGCAATGATCTGTACTTTGAGTGATATGAGTATAATAGAATAGAATTTACGTTAATTCTATCCCAATAACAGAAACCAGACAAGGACATAGAGCGAACAGAAATTGAAGGTTTTTGTTGTTTGTCCTCCTATTGTAAAGCTGCTTTTTGTCTTTATCCTTGTCTGTGGTCGAATTTTTACACCACCGAGAGTCTGCTATATACGTACTTTTGATTACAAAGTGTTTGTTAATCTTCCACTAGGTGATTTCATTCCAGATGTATCAACACTTTCTCATGCAGAGTTGTCGTTAGTTTCTCTCTCAGACACCTCTGTAATGGGCTCAGATTTTTGACATTACGTATAAAACATAATATTTGCAGGATTGTTTCACATTAATTATTACTCCTGGATTGATGTAGTAAATATCTATCTCAAAAGTCTGACAGAAACGTAGAAATTAATTAATAATGAATTAAAACAAACACACTATTCCTTGTGTTCATCACTATGATATACGCGAGGCAACGATAGACTGAGATGATTGAATATTGTTTAACGTCCCTCTCGAGAATTTTTTTACTCATATGGAGACGCCACCACTTGCCGGTGGAGAGCTGCAAATGTTGTCCTATGCTCGGCACTCAGGGCCATTTAGCAGGGAGAGATCTTTTTCTTACCAGCACCTAAGCGACACGGGACCTCGGTTTATAGGGTCTCATCCGAAGGTCCAGTCTCCAAGTCCCACAGTGAATCCACGACGTAAGGATCAACTACTTACTTTGCGACCCTTGAACAGATGCTCTAACCACTGCGCAAAGAGGGAGATCGACAGAAATCGAGCCGATGGTAGAGAGTGATGTATCAATGCAACTGAGAAAGGTTTGTATCTCTGACACTCTTATGGTCTACAAATTGAGCTTCTACATGTAGCCCAAAATAGCAGGATGTCGTAAATCATACAATTACCTTTCTAAGACAGCGACATTTTGAAAGAACTTTACGCGATATATTGCATATTGAAGCCCCAAGAAAAGTCATATTGAACTGAGCTAAATTGTATATATTGTATGAGAAATCTAAATTAACAAAAAATATAATAGTTTTAAAGTACGTATTTGACAATTTTTTTTACGTCACAAGATATTTGGATATTGCATTTATTTTCAGAAAGAGTGAAAATATACAAATTTTCCCACTTTTTACTATAGAATCAAAGGTCTGATCGGATTACATATTTCAATTCTTCACATTATATAGAGAATAATACATACCCTTTTCCATATCACATCCTGTATCAGCCCGAGACACCAATATCAGCCAGAGGGCCGAAGGCCCGAGGGCTGATATTGGTCGAGGGCTGATACAGGATGTGATGTGGTAAAGGGTATGTTTTATTATATTTATTACATACTTAGTAATAAAATACAGAACACATTAAGTTGAGAAGAAAATAAGTAAATAATCATGCACAGACTTCTTAAAATGTACACAGTCTATTGTCTCATACAGTTTCGGTTTGTTTCTGTAATTCTATTTCAAGTGTCCCCATATGCAATCCGTAATTTGAAAATAATCTATTACATGTATTTGTAAATTAAGATTAACCTTATTTTTCAAAATGTTAAATAAAGAGAATATGAAGCCACCAAAATTGAGTATGATCACAAGTACTGTTTTTGTGGTTTAATTTACTAAGTGTGTGATATTGACGTCACAATAGCCGTATCAGTCCTGCAGGGCTGATATGGATTTGCAGGGCATATTAGATTATCAGCCCTGCAGGACTGATACGGCTATTGTGACATCAGCGATATCGCATATGCAAGAAACCTGTATTTATTACTAAGTATGTAATAAATCAAAATATTGACCCTGAGCAGACCTGTGTTTATTTACTTTTGCTCAAAATATTGACGTAATTACACAATTTTTTGTAGAATTAAGAGAATTTCATCAGAGCCCCATTGCCTGTGTTTTTTACTGTTATATTGTAAATGCATTATCAAGAATTGAAATATGAATAATATAGATCAGAAAGGAAATAAGTATGCAAATAAGATAAAAGTGAATGAAACTTACATTTATACAAGTCGGAAAAAAAGAAAGGGTCTGCAGGGCATCCTTTTCTGAAATCAAGACAGCTGACTTGGTCCAAAAAGCCATTTTCATAAACGATCAAACAATTTCCTAGAGGAAATACAAAAATCACAACAAATTTGGAAAAAAAAATATTAACATGATATTCAACACACAGAGAGTAATTCACTATCACGATAAGGATATCATTCTAAATTACTTTCATATCAGAGTGTCATACAAACGAAAATCTCCTTTGCATTTTGTTCAGCCAAGGATTTTTTTCTAGTGGTTACATGTAGTACATATTGCCATTCTGTATATACGAAGGCTGTTCAATATATAATGTCTTCGGTATTTGGAAGGAAACAAACAAACAAAAAACGCTTTTAAATGATTTAGACTTAATTATTTTACCTAAACATTCTCTTTTAGTTAAAGTATACGTCGGTAACATTTTTATCCAAATTGAATGTCTGGTTGTTTTTAGAAGGCAATTTTGGCTCATCGTTTACTGGAATTTGAGAGATTCTATGATTTTCTAGACCTTAACCCTTTTGATCTTTGGGCAAAAAGTTTGCTCTCTAGAAATCTCCAGAATTCGAACTCTCTCCCTGAAAACGAATTTGAACAACAGGACCCCTAATATTTAAGAAAATGGCATATATAGATCTGTCTGTGTGATCATGCAATTCTTTGTTTTTCTCAGGTCTTTGCTATATCTCTCAAGTACTTCTTCCTGTACATTTTATTGTTAGATGGTTTGAAGCAAAACATTCATGTTTCATTATCTGTTTGAATTTAACAATTATTTTTGAATAACTACAATTTCTTATCTTTTACAATAATTGTTTATATTTTCTTACACGCTCTCATTTTCACTCATTTTTCAAACGATAGGATGACCTTTGAGTACTTGGCTTTTTTAATGTCAAGCTTTTCTTTAAAATTACCCCCAAAATGATGGTTATAAAATTTGCTATGTGTTTTAAAGTCAATAAAACTTCATCAAAGATTATTGTTGAATTTTGGCAGAGAGTACATTTGTTCTTATAATTTCATTCTTAACAAGTTTCACAGCAGCTTTAATGAAGCATTTAATTTCTCTCCAGTTTACTAATTCCTAACCATTCATTTTCAATTCAGCGTCTCGAATAGCCCCTGTCGTCCAGCTTCTCATAATAAAATTATGCGAGGAAAAGTGGTTACATCAATTTATTAAGTCATGCTTAATGTCATATGATGTCTACATTGTATGTCGAAGTGTTCATGACATTATTTATTGAACAGCCCTCGTATGGTTGTCGGCGACAAAACTTATAGATCTACTCCTACTGCAAAAACTGTCGTACATAAGCACATATTATCACCGGGCGGGGAAAGTTACACAATCGCGTGCCATAAATAGGTTCGCAAAACAGTTTTCGTCATATGTACTTTCAATACCAATTCTAATACTACCTTTTCGGTACATGACTAAAAGTGTGTGTGAGTGGGGGGGCAACTAGGCTTTCCATTAACATTTCCTATAGTATAAGTAAAGTTGGGAAAAAATTAAAAATTGGGGGGGGGGCAAGCCCCCTGGCCCCCCTGTTGCTACGCCCCTGCTCCTACTGCACAAACTGTCGTACATAAGCACATATTATCACCGGGCTGGAAAAGTTACGCAATCGCGTGCCATTAGTAAGTTCGCAAAATAGTTAACCTCCTTAAAACAATATGAGTTGTATTTTTTTTTTAAAATTCAATTTAAGAATGTGTTATGTTATTTAAACCTTTGTGGTCAACTTGACCCGGAAAAAATCATGAAAATTTTCGGAAGAAAGATTTCTATTTAGTCGAATATACAGCAAAAAATTAAACAATGGTCCAGAAAATGGATGGTAGACTTTAATCCTAGCAAAACTGAAAATGTTATTTTACCCGGTCAAATAAAGTTCATCCACAAATCATTTGGTTATGTTAATAGTTACATAGAACAACAGCAGAGTCACTGCCACCTTGGACTTATACTACAATCCAATGGTGGTTGGTCTGAACACATACTGTAGAAGTGGAAAACATAACGGTGTGTTAATTTCACTGTGTTCACGATTTAAGAATTTTCCGCGAACTTTAAGCCATCGTGATTATTATTTCACGTCATTTCTTCCTAGAAACAGTCATAGTACTTGAATATTTACAAACCATTCTCCGTGAAATTTAAACCACCGTGAAAGGTAACTTTCTAACAAACCGTGAAATTTCAGACACGTGAAATTAAAGACGTCTACAGTATCCAAAATATATGATAAATTATGTCAACGTTTAAATGTTCTTCGCACCCTAAAATACAAATTAAACAGAGATTCCCTTATTAGTATTTATATTGCTTTTATAAGGCCTATTCTAGAATATGGAAATGTAGTATGGGATAATTGCGCACAGGAACAGAGTAATCTATTAGAGAGTGTGCAAATAGAGGCTGGGCGTATCATTATTTGGTTAAGGCGCAATTCTTTGAAACAAAAATTGTATAATGAATTAGGATGACAAACGCTTAGTGAAAGAAGAACTAAACATAAGCTTACACTTATGTACAAAATACTTAATGATTATACACCTGAATATTTGCAAGAAATGGTCAATCAATGCCTACCTGTTTCACATAATTACGCCTTACGCAATAATTCGTATCACTTATCAATCACTATAATAGTTTTTTACAATCTACAATTAAATTATGGAATGATTTGCCAGATAGCTTAAAATCTGTAACAAGTGTAACAAAGTTTGAAAAGTGTACACTGTATGCAAAATAAAAATCTTGGAGATAAAACAAAATCCAAATTATACAATTATGGACAAAGAAAATTAAATATACTCCACTGTCAGTTGAGAAACTTCTCTAGTAATCTTAAAGCAGACTTGTTTAATCATAATTTAGTTGCTTCACCTAAATGCTTAAAATGTGGATATTGTTTTGAAGACTCTGTTCATTTTTTCGTTCAATGCCCATGTTATGATTTTGCCAGGAACATTTTAATTACATACATGAGTGACCATGACATACCAAGAGATGTCAATATTGTATTATCAGGTTATGATTGTCTATCTCTTAGAGAAAATATGTTATTCTTTGACCAAGTTCATAATTTTATATTTAAAAAAAAACACTAAAAGATTTTAGTCTGAGCCTTCCTCTCCATATTCCTATTACTTAATTTTTTGTTTGTTTTTTCCATTTTTTTCTTTTAAATTTATTTTATTGTTTTCTTTATGCATTTTTTGCCTTCAATTTTTCTTCAATCTTGTATTCTTTATAATTCTCTTAATATTAATTTATAATACATGTTTTGTGGAACTTAAAATATGTACAGTGATTTAATTGTACATGTACCTTGATCTCAAATGGAGAGAACTAATTTAGGCCCTTGGCCTGCTGTTCAATCCATATTCATATTGTACACTTTGTATATTATGAATAAAATACTTCTTAAACTAATATACAGCATTATATAAGAAACCGTTTTTATTATGTTCCCCAAACGAAGTTGGGGAACATATTGTTTTTACTCTGTTTCTTATTATGTTCCCCAAACGAAGTTGGGGAACATATTGTTTTTACTCTGTTTCTTATTATTATTTTTCTTCTTCCTGGGCACTTTTTTGTCCGCGAATGATCTCGTAAACTACACATCCGACTAAGGTGAAATGTTTTTAGGGTCAGTAGACATGTTATGTAGATTTGCGGAACGAAGGTCATTTTGCGCGCACGTGCTTGCAAGAGCGTGCACGTGCAACACGTGAAATGACCAATTAATTTGGTATAGGCGTAACTTTGTCAATTTTTGATGAAATGCTATGAAACTTATAATATAAGTATATATTAGTAACATAGACAATATGACATGGTCAAAATATCAAGATCTCACGCGCATGCACGTGCGCTTCGCTCTGATTGGCTGAAACTAAAGTCTCAATATCTTTCTTGTTTTTTGACGAAATCCTTTGAAATTTTGAACATAGCCATGCATTAGGATATCCTACAGCATGATATATAGCAATTATCTTGAAAACACGTGCATGCACGTGCGCTGCAATCTGATTGGCTTAAACTTTAAATAGCTATAACTCCCTTGGTTTTCAATCAAAGAGGGTGGGATTTGGAACTTAGATAGATATAATGGACTACTACAAGAAGGTATGGTCACCATGCACATGCATGCACGTACGTATACGTGCGCAGCAATCTGATTGGCTGAAACTTTAAACAGCTATAACTCCCTTAGTTTTCAACCAAACAGGATGGGATTTGGAACATAGGTAGATATAATGAACTACTACAAGATGGTATGGTTACCATGCACATGCATACACGTACGTGTACGTTCGCAACAATCTGATTGGCTGAAACTTTAACAGCTATAACTCCCTTAGTTTTCAACCAAACCAGGTGGGATTTAGAACATAGATAGATGTAATGGACTTCTACAAGAAGGTATGGTCACCATGCTCATGTTTGCACGTGCATAGAGTTTGTCTTATTTAATGAGGCTTACAGGAGATATGGCACCAAAAGGGAGTTGAGGAGCGTTTGGGGAACATCTGTAACGGTCCCCGTTACAATTAGCACTAGTTATTATTATTATTATTATTATTATTTTTCTTCTCGGGAAAATTTTGTCCGCGAATGATCTTGTAAAGTACACATCCGATTAAGGGGAAACCTTTTTAGGGTAAGTAGGCATGTTATGTAGATTTGCGGAACGAAGGTCATTTTGCGCGCACGTGCTTGCAAGAGCGCGCACGTGCAACACGTGAAATGACCAATATACTTTTAATTGCCGTAACTTTTACATTTTTCGATGTAATGCTTTGATATTTAGAATATTTAGACATATTATAAATGTAGATAAGATGACATTGTCAACATGCCATTTTGTGTGCACGTGCTTGCAAGAGCGCGCACGAGCAACACGTGAAATGACCGATTTAATTGATATAGGCGTAAATATTTACCTTTTTGATGAAATGCTTTGAAACTCATAATATAAGGATATAGTAGTAGCATAGACAATATGACATGGTCAAAATAGCAAGATCTCACGCGCATGCACGTGCGCTTCGCTCTGATTGGCTGAAACTTTAAATAGCTATAACTCCCTTGGTTTTCAACCAAACAGGATGGGATTTGGAACATAGATAGATATAATAGACTTCTACAAGAAGGTATGGTCACCATACACATCCATACATGTGCGTGTACGTGCGCTGCAATCTGATTGGCTGAAATTTTAAATAGCTATAACTCCCTTAGTTTTCAACCAAACAGGATGAGATTTTGAACATAGATAGATATAATGGACTTCTACAAGAAGGTATAATCAACATGCACATCAATACATGTGCGTGAACGTACGCTGTAATCTGATTGGCTGAAACTTTAATCAGCTATAACTCACTTGGTTTTCAACCAAACGGAGTGGGATTTAGAACGTAGATAGATGTAATGGACTTCTACAAGAAGGTATGTCACCATGCTCATGAATGCACGTGCGTGCACGTGAAATGAGTAAAATCAAAAATACACTTGAATGAGCGTATTTTTTAATAATTTTGGATTAAATACTTTAATATTTAGTTTAGTAAAGTATATAGAATGTGTAGACAACATGATATGGTAATTACGCACATGCATTCACATGCGCACGCGTGCAATGCTAAAATATGAATGAACTTAGTACCCTTCTAGGTAAACGTTGTTTAAGTCTCAAATGCATAATGTTTGTCTTATTTAATGAAGCTTACAGAGAATATGGCACCAAAAAGGAGATGGGGAGCGTTTGGGGAACATCTGTAACGGTCCCCGTTACAATCAGCACTAGTTTTACATGAGGTCAATACTGTAATTCTTAATTCAATCATAGATAAAAAAAAATAGTTCTTCCATCGCAAAAATGAAGAACAGAAGTTTATAAAAGTTTTTTTTTCTTTTATGTAATTAATTGGATAATTTTGCAACAATATATTCTGAAATCAAAGTAGCAGTTCATATTGCTTTTAATTATGTTATGCAAAGAATTAGTTCGTATATCTTGAAATAAAATTAAAAAGAGTCTACCTTAAGTCCAATGAATTTGATTGCAATATATCGAGAACACAATTAAAAAAACGCGCCTTTTTTTGAAGATCTGAGATGGATTACGAATGTAAACTTTACTGAGATCATTTTACCATTAGTGCTAGTTTCAGATCACCAGCATTTTTCGTTTGCTCTCATTTGCACTCGTAATTGCGATACTTTCCATACATTTTGAATAATATTGGAGGTATAGGTATGAAAGTGTTTTTATATTGTTTTTCTGTTTCCACTTAATTCATTTGGCGGATACAAAAACAGAGACAGTAGACTCTTCAAATCAAAGTACTGAAACCACTCATGGGAGTTGAACATGGTGTAATATAAAATCTTTGATCGGGAGGTTTAGTACCTGAACAGAATTTTTTTTCAAAAACAACAACTGTTTCAGATTTTTCGAGTTGCAACAATCTTGAGAAAGACATTCAGAATAAAATACATGTACCAAGTTAAAAACAAATATTTAATGACCAAACATAAAAACAGTGATATATGTGAAAGTTCGTGTGCGTTCAAATTATCTGGTATGTAAATGAGGTTTTCCTTTCATTAAAAAATATGCTTCATTTTATTGTTTTTAATCGCGATATTTTACAAAAACATTGACGTCCGTTTTTGGTTTTAACATTTATAACAGAGAACTAGATTTACCGCTTTTGGCAGGTGATACTGCTGATTAAGTAATAAATACGCATGATTCCTAAAGTTTTTATGCGTTAATGAATTTATTTAAACCCAGAAAATCTTCATGAAAAGTTTGAATAGATTATGTGCATGTGCAGCAGTAAAAAAGAAATTGCTAAAAATCCGGGACCGTCGGGCATCGGTAAGACTACATTTACCGCTTGCCGTCAGTATGTAGATTTGTCCTTCGTATATCTTTCAGTGTATGACGCTACTCGAAAAATGAGTTCCATTACGAAAAACTTTTGAGGTTCTTTATAATGTAGTTTTACTTTGAACGAAATCCAATATTCAAAATAAGATTACTTTATTATTACATTTACTTACATTTCAAATTATGAAATTTAGACCAATTCAGGAGAAAATAACATGAACTACTAGTATTTGTTTATGCATGTTTTCTTTTAAATATCAACGGAGTAAGTCGGTCGACACCGTAGCCTCGCTTTCGTCTCTATATAATCAACACAAATTACTGCGCATGTTAAATGCGTGATGACCATAGGAGATTGAATATAGTTCAACTCACAAAAATCAAATTTTATTTGTAAATTATCTAGCGCCCACGGGTCAAAGACAATCGTCCAGAACTTCAACATACTTCTCACTGCTTAAGTTTTCATCTACAGCTTTCAATGTACCAACTCCATAAAGTTGGTTGGACCGCAATCAACAATAACACTTCTTCAGGAAGCTTTCGCCTACTTTTCATTTTATCTGGTTCTTGGGATGTTTAAAGATTGTTCTTTTATATTTAAAAGTAAACTTTTTGTGGCCAGACCTACCACTGAGGCATTATGGTTGTAAAAAATAAAATCTACTCTACCTTAATAGCGAAATTTATTTGTCTTCTACAAAAAATTTTAATTTTGAAAAAAAAATTTAAAGCAATTTTTCCCTTAGAAAGGAGGAGGGATCAAATGTAATTTTGCAAGAAGCATAACTCTCAAAATAAAATTACTTGCTTTTAATTAAATGTTTAAATCCCTGTTAATTCTCTTGATGAACTGTCCAGTTGAGGATAAATATTCTAGCGATTTGAAATTTTTCGTGAAACTCGTGAAAAACAAGGAATTTATAGTAATCAACAAAGAAATATAGATCCAGTCTGTAAGTGACAATTGTATGCTGTTTAACGTCCCTCTCGAAAATTTTTTACTCATTTAGAGATGCCACTAATTTCCGATGTCCATGTCCTATATTCCAAACTCAGGGCTATAGAGCAGTTAGGGATCGTTTTCATGCCATGACTTCCTGCGATACAAGGCCTCGTTTTATACGGTTTCATACGAAAGACCAGTCTCCACGTCCCACGGAGGGAATACAAACCCATAAAGTAAGGATTGACACCTAACTTCGAGACTCTAACCACTGCTCCACATGGGCACTGCAGTTAACGAAAGAAATATTGCTGCATAAGAGAAGTTGACGATTGGAAAGTTAAATGCATCACGTTTAACATAAAACTTAGTTGTTAGATAACCATTAATGTCTTTTTCTAGTAAATATCCAAATATGAAACAGGTGTGTCAGACTCTGTGGTACCGTTAATCTCAAGCTCAGCGGGATGTATCGTTCAGTCATTTAATAGAATAGAAATAGTATACACCTATTTACTGGCTATGAGGACAATAGCAAGTTTATCGTCCCCCAAGACAGCAAACTATTTCCCGAGGCGCAGCCGAGGGAAATAGTTTGCTGTCGAGGGTGACAATAAACTTGCTATTGTCCGAATAGTCAGTAAATAGGTGTTTTATTATACCGATGCTGAAAGTATTTTTGTTACGTCATAATATATACGTCACAATCCCTATAAGATCAGAAGTTTTCCGAGATGAAAAGCGAGGGAAATCGAATGCTGCCGTTGAATAGTTTGAGGACTATTCACCATGGGCAAATAGCACAAAAACTATTTCACGGCAGAGACTGTTTAGAAAAAAATAGCATGTTTATTCGTCTTATTTTTATATAGAAAAAATAAACAGAGGTATAATAATCATTATTAATTTACAATACGTTGTTGATATATCTCAAAGTCGAGTTGAAGGTTACAGCAAGTATTTTCTTCTTTTCGATCATGCATAAGATTTTAAATAAATTATGCTTCATATGAATACAAGAAAGGGTCTGCTCACATGCAATTGGTACGCATGGGAATGCCTATAGATTGCTGTAAGACCCGATCTTCAAAATCGAAATAGATATTGTCAATCAGAAACAAAAGTACATCAATCCTGGACACAATTTTTTGACCAAAAAAATTGTTCTCTAAAGTTTTGCAAGTAATGATGCCTGTATGTCTCCCTCCGTATGTCTCCCTCCATGCTTATTTTACGAAATTTTTGTGTATATCTCTCTCCTTAAATCAAAATGTCGACGACAATATATACCGTAAATCTGGAAATTTTTACGTCGATTTTATTTTGCGAATTTGGGTCAAAATAAATGCCTTTGATTAATTTATACGATTCAAAATTTTGAAAATGACCACTAGTTTGTTTACATTTTCTTATTGTTGAATTATATTTAAGAACAATATTTTTGCGAATGCAATGAACTCGCAAATTTGCTGAAAATGTATCTACAGCAAAAATTTCCAGATTTACGGTATAATTGTTGCTGATGGCAATATGTGCTTGACTTTATTTGTGATTCATTATGCGGGAGAAAAAAGTAAAACTCGTCTTATCATATTTTACGTACTGATGTATGAGACAATATTTACCGTTAGACGATAATACGTATGTAATGGTAGGTACATGGTAGGTAAATCTTGTCAGCGACAAAAAGATGTATAGATCAAGAACAATAACGTGTTCCGTCAAACAAAATTCTTTTAAAAATACATGTAATATGTCATTTTCTGCAATAACCCAGAGGATATTACCTTAAAAATATTTTTGAAATTATTAAATTTCTTAATAACAATTTTGTTGTTGTTATTGCTTTTGTACATTTTAAAAACACTTAAAAATTAATAAAAATGTTAGGTTTAATATTGTACTACACAGAGAAACAAAAACACTTATTTGGGGAACGTGATGTCAAAGTCAAAAAAAATTATATGCGAGCAATTGTTACCTTTTTCATAAAGACCACTTGTGTAGTTGTAACAAAATTCCACAATGGCCGACCGCTCATTATTTGGTACACAGACATACCGATAACGTCCGTTTCCGTCCACATCACAGGAAAGTCTTGTGGCTGATGCAAGGAATTCTGTTTCATTACGAGGACACGAATACACAATATGTCCAAATTCTTGGTACTTTATCCGTGTCATATCTGTAAATACTAGTAAAATTTTTTGGCTTTTTCAAATCATTACTTTAAATTTGTTCCTTTACGGTCTACGCCAAAAACAGACCGTATTTTAGAAGATTAGAGTGACTGATAATTCTACTCTTATTGCAATTTTCTTTTGAAGGCATGCATGAGTAAACTTAATGCACCTGTACTTTATGGTTAATTTTAGATAACATAATCAAAAGCATTAAATGGGAGGGTTTTATTCAATATCAGAGGGTTCATGTTTCAACAAATCTTTCGGGAGGTATGATTCAGATTTTTTTATGTTGACTATATTAATTTTTTTTTGATAGAGTATTCCAATGTATGAAATTTTGTTCATCAAAATCTGCACGTTGCTGGATTTTACGATAGGTAAACTTAGGTTTTTCGGTTTGATTGTTTAGCGTTCCTTCTCTATTTGATTTTAATAACTTTCAGAAATACCTGTATAGACATTTTTTTTCAAGATGTTGAAAAGAAAAAGACTAAAACTACAATGTCCTGTTTGCTGCCAATTTTATTTATAAAACTGGTATTACTCTGTCACCTTTAAAAATGTGTCAACTTGGATTAAGTCTCTAAAATTTAAATCAAAATAACAAAATCAGGGTGTTAAACGTAAAAATAAATACATTGATCATATGCAATCAATAATTCTCACAGTTGTCTACATGTACGCAACTGATTGATTTGACAGCTCTATTCTTGTAAAGAATGACAATCATAACAAAAATGCCGAGAAGTTCTAAAAATAAAACATCTTATGTGTATTGAACGGACTATCTTGAATAGTTTAATTTCTGTATCAGATAAAAAAAAATTCAGGCTAAGAGCTCTGCAAAAATGTTATACGAATCTTTAACCCAAAAGCAATTAAATGTTAATTAAAAAATATATATATTTCCTCACAGTATATTCTATTTATCTACTATATCAAAGTATCTGATTCAAGCTCTTGATACTTAACCATCATTACGTTTTATCCATTCTCTCAAACCAAAAGTTAAAAAAGTATACATGTAATGTTGTATTTATATCAACCTACCTTTTAATAACGTTTATCTTTCAAAAATATCTAAGTATTTTTTTGGGTTACAATTTACCCGTTTTTTCCAGAATCTGAATCCCCGGAAGATAAATGTTTTAGGCAATGACGTGTCCTTAAATTTGATCGGAATTTCCATAAGTCATTAATGTTTCAGCACACATGGTTATTGAACCATGAGCTGGCTGTAAAGACATTTAAACATTATATAATATACACAAGTCTCCATTGAATGAAAAATAACAAAATACCCCATTAAAAGTCCACAGTAATAGATCATTTAAATATTTCTTATGAATCTTCAACACTAGTTATTATAAATGAAAAGGTATCTGAATTTTAAGTTGATTCCCAATCATGGTAAATATTTACATGTAATATTCCAGATTGAGGTAATTTTTAGTAAGCAATGAATACATCTTCATATGATTATGTTTAAAATTTACAGGAATGACCATCATCTCATCGTTTTTGAATCGCAATAAAAAATCACACTGGAGATATAAACAATTGATTTACAACTTAAATTAGTGAAATGATTTGGAAAAAACCAATAACATCTTAATGATTAAAGACAGAGCTTTGTTCAATTTATTCTCAAAATGTCTTTTGTACCAATTCACCGACCAAGACCAGATTACCGATCGGAAAATAAAGATGAATTAAGTTAGATCAGATTACCGATTGGAACCAAAAGAGTTATTGTGTGCCTTACTATAAAAGATTTTCTTTGATAGCCCAACCACTCAAAACAGACGTTGTGAATTTACACTGCTCTTGAATTTTCAGAAATTATGTTCTTGAGTAGGTTTTGCTATTAAAATATAAAGTATGAGCACATCGTTTGTTACTAAAATTGTGTGTTAAATAATCTTAACAATCAGTTCTTTCATTATGTTATTGCATATTTTGGATCAAAAGTTGGGCTCTGCAAAATATAACAAAATGCCTACGGGCTACATCGCTCGCATGAGCACCGTTGCTGGGGCGGATTTAATTAATGTAGTTTTGCTGTGTAAGTGAAGATTTTCCTATGTAAAACTTTGCTCGTTCGTTGTGGCCTACTGCTCTACCCCCTGTAGTCATGATTCGAAAAACCTTGAATCTTCACTACTTACATGGGAATGCTTCCATACATAAATGACCAATTATGGCCGCTTGGCTATTCTTGAGAAGAAAATTTGAAAGAATTTTCCTTTATACGAGGGGGTTTAAAAAATTTCGTGGTCTAGCGCCATAAAATTAAATCCGCTTTCGGTACATCAATGGATTTTGAAATTTCTAGTAAGCCTCATTTTGTCTATCTATAGAATAAACCACAAATCATACAATTTTTTTTTTTTAAATAAATTAGTAATGTTCTTTAAGCAACGGTATGTCCAGGCAGCGCAGCCTCAAAAACGACGTTTTTTCGACGTAGGTATAACTGAGAAAAAAACCATTTTAATATGAACATTTGACATCCAAAAATCTCGTTAATTCAGATATGTGTTGGGACCCTATTGTTCCATAAAACATGGAATTTTTACCTCACTCTGGAAGTTCCATGAAATTTTATCGTATAAATTTTACATGAAGTATCCAAACAAATATTGCTTGAAAAAAGAGGTATCTTTTCCAACATTCTATAAAGTTATGCCCCTGAAAAAAAAATGGTATAGACCTAGGAAATGTTTAAACTGGCCATGGAGAAATAACATGGATCCCAAGTACATGTACGTGTTTTTTTTGTTTTTTTTTTTTGTAATCCCAAAGTGATTCAAAGAGAAAAGAAATGTTTACGTCGATTTGTAGACAAGGTGTGAAAAATCAACCACATCAAAAATGACGTTGAACATGTCTTGTAGATATTGAACTCCAAAAAGTGAAATATGCTGGCACAATAAAGCGAGGATCTCTCCCATTGTACATGTATAAATCTATTTGCAATATTATATGCATTAAAAGCCCCTGTTCATGACATTGTAAAATCATATTAACAAGACGGATTGAATCCTTATTCAGCTCCAAGCAATCTCATCAAAATAAGTGTACGAGATAGAAGAAGCAGACATTGAAAAACAATAACATTGTTGGACGTCATAAAACTAAACGGCAACGGTGCCGGGTGATGCTATAATGTCGTTTTTATTTTATAATAATTTGGGAGATTATGAACGTATCAAGCTAAAATTTTAAGGGGGCCGACGATAGTTTTATTGTGTGAAAACTACAATAGCGAAACTCTTCATTTTTATACCATAATACCTTAAATTAGCTTCAGTATAGATGCAAAGTTTGGGGGAAATCTACCGTCCGAGTATTTTGAGGGACCGTCTCAAAATGCAGGTACATTTTCCAAAGGATTATATAGAAAATTGCTAATTTTAAGCACTTTAAAGCAAATTATACAAATACGTCAATAGACTTTTTGTTTAAACTAGAATATTTGATGAGCATTACTATATTTTACAATATATATAAGAAAAACAAAATTCTACCGTCTTGTAAGAAGAGGGGGTATCTCAAAACGTAAAAATTAGCAAATTTTACTATTTCTATAGATTTATACAAAATATGACACACACAATGGATTCACATGAAGACATGATAAAAATATTAGAGATATTTTCAAATTTATATGTTTTAAATTTCAAGAGCTTGTGTTTATTACGTTTTCTTTAATACTATTTTTATTACCCCTTTCTTTAAGAGCTACAGATTATCATAACGTCAAAAACACACTGCAACGACGGCAACCTACATGTACCTATCAATTGCAAAATCGGTTAAAAAATCAGTTATGTCAAATTGTAATTACATTTTTATACCTTTAATTTCTTGATTTTGTTTAATTTTTTTTAAAAATTTAGGCCAAAAAAAATTTAAAACCGTAAATAAGCTTCTTTTTACTATGATGCGCGAAATATTGCGCAATGGAAACTATAGTCGGCCCCCTTAAACATTTTTTTTGTTGTTTAATGTTCCATAAAAACTTTGTAAGCTCAAACAAGAAATCACTATTTTTATAGCCTCAGTCCACGAATTTTTTTGATAACCCCTCGTACATGTAATTCTATGTAAAAGTTTGATCAGCCATTTTGGCTTTCAGGGTCATGAATTGAAGGAAATTTAATCTACACTACTTTAGGATGCTTCCCCATACGTTTCACCTTTCCTGGCACAGCGGTTCTTGAGAAGAAGATTTTTAAGACATGACACAGAGTTTGGTTGAAATTGGCGCAGTGATTCTGAAGAAATTAAACATGTGAAAAGTTTTCAGACGGATGGACGAACGACGGACAAAATGTGATCAGAAGAGTTCATTTGAGCTTTCAGCTCATGTAATTAAAAAAAAAAACAATCAAACTACGGCCATTTTTACAATATATTCAGGATGTGAGGATTGTGACGTTTTTACGACGTCATAAAGCACAAACTAGTAAGAAAACTACGTATACAGTTACCAAGTGTCCAAGAAAATTTAATGTACTGTCAACTTAAACCGAACAGTGAATTCTTGCCTTTTTATTGTCAATCTTCCTTCATTAGTAGCATTGTATTTTTTTTGAAACCCTTTTGAGCATTTTCTTCGATCAATCACTCTCTAAGACGATGCGGGCTATCCACGGAAGCAATGCTACAAGTTTAAGTACGGGTCTCTGTAAGAATCAGACAATATGTGTATAAAAGTGAATCATGAGGGTTCTCAGAATTCGATGATTTTCCACATATAGGTTTCTCTTACCCCATGAACCACGTATGTAAAATGAAAATTATTTTGGGTCCTGGTTACTATGGAAACATGGACAAAGAAATTTTCCCTAGCAACCGGTCAATTTTCCATGTTTATGGACAAATATATAACTAAACTTAGAGGCTTGAAATTGAATGTGAATATTACAAGAGGGGTTCTTAAATAATGTTATCATGAAGATAAACATTTCAAGTGAAAAACCATGTAATACATACAATTTTTATTTTAAGATATTTC